GTCCCAGGGAGCCGAAGCTGCAGTCCTTCCTCCCCAGCGGCAGTGTGTGTTACAGGGAGCTGAAGATGTTGTCCTTCCTCCCCAGCGGCAGTGTGTGTCTTTAGGAGAGGAGACAGTTGGTCCCTCTCCCCAGCAGTCCAGTGAGTCCCAAGGAGCTGAAGGTACCGTCCTTCCACCCCAGCGGCAGTGTGTGTCCTTAGGAGAGGAAACAGTTGGTCCCTCTCCCCAGCAGTCCAGTGAATTACCGGGAGACAAAGGTGCCATCCTTCCTCCCCAGCGGCAGTGTGAGTTCTTGGGAGAGGAGACAGTCGGTCCCTCTCCCCAGCAGTCAAGCGAGTCCCAGGGAGCTGAAGGTGCCATCCTTTCTCCCCAGCAGCAGTGTGTCCAGCAGGGAGCAGAGACAGTCGGTCTCACCCCCCAGCAGCGGGACAATATATTGAAAGAGGAGACAGTCGGCCCCCCTCTCCAACAGCAGAGAGAGTGTCAGGCTGAGGAGCTTGTTATCCCCTCTCCCCAGCGGCTGAAAATATGTATGGGAGAGGAGCTTGTTACCCCCTCTCCCCAGCGGCTGAAAGTATGTATGGGAGAGGAGCTTGTTACCCCCTCTCCTCAGCAGCAGCTTAGCCCACCAAGGGGAGACAGTAAGCTCCACAACAGTGCAGATGGGACTGTGGTCTCTGCACATGCACCACTGGGGGTAGGGACGGTTGGTCCTGTCCCCAGCAGCAGTGCTGTTTAGCCAAAGGGCAGTATGTTTCCAAGGGAGCTGCTAATTCTGCATGCAGGAGAGACATTTTGTGTTAATTATCGTCTTCCCCACCCATTTATAAATATGTAATTATGTTATAATAAGTCACTATATGTTGCCTGCTATGATTTGACTGTTTGTAATTATATTGAGTTTTCACAGCAATGTTAATGTAATGACCATATGGGCTAGTCCCAAGTAAAATAATTTTTAGACAGTTCTACTTCACCCTCAATTTGGAGTCCTGTCTCTTATTGGGGGAATCTGCTACAAAGGATTGCTATGCTCTGCATATTCCCTTGCTATAATCACTGCTAAGCTCTTTTAAGAGCTCATTCCTGCTTCGCTCTGAAGGAAGAGAGGTTCGGCCTGCGGTGGTTGTGGTGTTGGCTAGAGTGCTTGGAATCCTCAAGAAGCGCTAGGAGCATCCATCAACGGAGGTACCCAGTCGGGGTGCCAGGTGATCCATTACAGCCATATTGTCTTAATCCCACCACTACTTCACAGTACCCCAATATCGATGGGTCATACACTAAATCCAATGTGGGACACATTTAATTGTTAATAAATAGTGCTAGTGCTAAATGAGCTCAGGGAAATTGATCTAATCTGTTGTAAGAGTATTGTGAATATATATATTGCAACATTGATGTGAAATAAATGCAGTGTCAAAACTAAACAGTTAAAGTGATAGCGCTTTGATGTATAAACTCGCAATGCATATCATATTTCTGCTCTATACCAACTGAAAAATATAATTAAAGTGACATTACTATCTAAAACCTCCTCAAATGTATACTTTCCTGTGGTCTCCTTGTGGCATCTGAAGCTCAGGCGCTGCAGGGTGCTCAACCAAAAAGCAATCTGGTAATGCCAAAGTTACATAGTAAAGAGAAAAGGGAATTGGGGGTACACCTGTAACATGCATTTCTACTCAGCATTGGTGCTGCCGTAGAGTCCAAAATTTATACATAATACAGATTAAGTAACAGCACATACATAAAAATACAGTTTTTAACTTTTTAACGCTACTTAAAATCACCTAGTCCAGTAAACAAATATGATGATACAGGTCCACCATACAATAATCCAGTAATGGTGGGTCCTACACTAATTCCAACATGGGAGACAAATTAAATAGTGCTAGTGCTAAATGAGCTCAATACACTTAAGCTTAATTTGTCTCCCACGTTGGAATTAGTGTATCAATATTGGGGTACTGTGAAGTAGTGGTGGGCTTAACACAATATGGCCATATGGTTGAACTGAATCTCCATATGTTTGATGAGATAGGTGATGTTAAGTAGTTGTTCCTTAATCTGTATATTATAGAAATGTTGGTGTCTACGTAAGCACTATTGATGAGAAATCTATGTTCCTTTTGTGCCCCCCAATTCCCCTTTTCTCTTTACTACCTGAAATATATTCTTATGCCAAAAAACAAACAGACTATTGTTTTCCAATATTGTGCTATGCTACAATCAAATGTCTCATCAAACATGCATTAAAATCACTTTTAACAGAAGCAGCCAGTAGTTAAGATGAGGCACAGTATAATCACAGAAGGAGTACTTGAGATAGTTTGTGCCAGAATGTGCATACATTAAATAAGTGTGTTCTAGTATATTATTCTTTAAGTAGGAAGAGAAAGTTCTTTAGCGTGAGAACAATTAAAGGAACACTATACAAACCTGGATTCCTAATGCTATAGTGTTTATACTCTTTATATAAATTTAGGCCCCCTCCAAATCTAAACAAAAATTGGGAAAAATGGGTATTACTAACTTTTTTTCCGGTACCAATATCAAGTCCCTGTAGCCACTTGTGCTGCCTCCCACAACATCACTCCAACGCAGTTGACAATCTAATCTAAAGCTCCTTATAGAGGAGCATTGGGATTAAAAGAACATCCGCAACAGCGCCGTGCTGCTATTCGAGGCTAACTGTAAAACCAAGATTGACTCGGTTCTCACAGTAGAAGTGCCTTAGAAACATAGAAACATAGAAACATAGAATGTGACGGCAGATAAGAACCATTCGGCCCATCTAGTCTGCCCAATTTTCTAAATACTTTCATTAGTCCCTAGCCTTATCTTATAGTTAGGATAGCTTTATGCCTATCCCACGCATGCTTAAACTCCTTTACTGTGTTAACCTCTACCACTTCAGCTGGAAGGCTATTCCATGCATCCACTACCCTCTCAGTAAAGTAATACTTCCTGATATTATTTTTAAACCTTTGTCCCTCTAATTTAAGACTATGTCCTCTTGTTTAGTGGCTGTCAGTTGTACTTATTTACTGTTCTGCAATGCTTTACATTGCAGTGATGAAACTGAAGGACCTCTGTAAACTCATTGGTCTGGGTGCCTTTAGTGATCTTTTAAATGTGATATCTCTGCCTAAAACGTTGGATTTATCAAATATTTTCTTTTAAAAAAGCATGTACTTTTTTTTGTAAAAGCACAATATTCAAAGATCAAATATTTAATACGCGATGTGACAGCTTGTTGATCCAGGAAGAAAGTTTTTCAAAAATGGCTTCAAATTATGTTTTGATAGACTCACATGGCATTGTTACTATGTAGTCACTAATTCCTCATTGGATGACTTGCACACTACATGCATCTCACTCAGCCTTCACTGGCTGCTCCCAATAGGCCCCCAATGTACCGGCAACAGTGTATAAATCAATGTCCACTCTCCTAGCTTTGCATTACCCCTTACTGCAGCACAGTCAGGCAATACCAAGACAGAGAGGGACTTAACTTTCCTCTGCCTGGGATACCATCTTTTCTCAAAAATAAGACCGAGTCTTATATTAATTCTCCTCCCCCAGAAAAAACACACTAGGGCTTATTTTGGAGGGATGTCTTATTTCAGGGCAAACCGGTAGCAAGCATGTGCTAGAAAGCAGGTCAACGTTTGGGGAAACTTTCTATGTTTGTGGAAAATTCACTGAACACAGATTATCGAAATAGCGACAAAGGTTTATTTTCGGGGGATGTCTTATTTTCAGGAAAACAGGGTATCATCTTGGTGCATTTAACCTGCATTGAGTGAGGCTGGCAGGATTTTAACATCAAATCCTGCCCTCTCTCCACGCACACTGCAGTCTGAACTCATCATGTTGATAGACTGGGAAGAAGAGATTGAATGGCCTCTGTCTAGGTACTACTCAACTGCTGTGATGTTAGGTGAGAAAAGGTAGTAAATATATCCCATGTTGTCTGCGTTATACATTTAAATTGTATGAGAAAGAATATAGGGGGGTGCAAATAGCATATACAATACTTTACTGTATATTTACTGTAGTGAGTAAATCACCTCCTGATTATCCTATAATAAAAACAGTAAAAACACATACATAGTATAATACTGTTATATAAAGTAGGAATAATCAATTCAAAGATATTGGGTCACTCACAGACACAGAGCCACATGGCTTCAATGGCAGGTGAATAATAAGCTTATTCCAGCTTTCTCCACCAGGATAATTAATTTCTGGTCCTTCAAATAATTTTCAGGATGTCCAATGAATTAAAACATATAAACTTTACTATATATAAAATAACATACAAAATAAAAATCAATTAAAATACTATATAGTGAAAGAGTCCACAGCACTAACGCGTTTCGACCTCCAGGTCTTTGTCAAAGTGTGTGGTCCATAGTGATCTCCCTCTCTTTAAATATCCTGGGTATTCAATTTGCTGCCGTTTGCCGGCGTCCTGCACATTGATAGCCTGTCACTTCCAGGCTATCAATGTTCCCTACATATGAATAGCAAAAAAAGCACTATCGCCATTTTTAAGATGGGAAAAACATTTTCATATACACTCACATTTCTAATGTGGCTAACATAAAATAATCTAATACAGTACATTAGTACATATATTATCAAATTTTATATACAAAGAGACATTTACCCAGATCATTACTTTAAACTATATGGTGTCTTCAAACATGTATAATATGAGGAGGAGAATATTCTTACAATAAGGTCTGTTTATATCAAAAAATAAATAGGTAGTTTCTATAACTAAAAAATGACATTATAAATGTAACTAAAACATATAGAAATAAACTTTAGTATAAAAATCTTTATAAGAATATTGAGGAGGCAAAGTAATAAAAATATGAGTAAAATATTTTCAAAATTGTCAAAATTGTATAAAAAGGAGATATATTAAAAATAAAAATAGAATAAATTCTTTTAAAAAATAAATAAAATTAAAAATAGTTTTAAAATTGTAATCCAAAAATGATAAAAGAGGGTTAAATAAGTGCAACCATCTCGAAATCAACATTGAGTCCGCCAGGAGACAAGGTGTCTAAATTAAATATCCACCTCATCTCGCAGCGGCTCAACGCTGATTCCAGACACCCTCCTCTCCAATGAGTTTCAGTCTTTTGGATCCCCCAAAATTGGAGTCCAGAGGGATCTCCTCCATGACAATTTAAAAAATGTGTGGATACATTATGTTTTAAAAAACCCCTCCTGATATTATAAATATGCTCACGTATCCTTGTTTTTAGGCACCTAGATGTTTTACCAATATATTGTAGCCCACAAGGATACGTGAGTAGATAAATTACCAATATATTGTAGCCCACAAGGACACGTGAGTAGATAAATCCCACAAGGACACGTGAGTAGATAAATTGTATATTTACTGTGGGAAGATATTAAGATATTAGCTAAATTGGTAGGTGACAGTGATTTGTGATAAATGTAACTTTAATACTGGATGTCTCTTGCAACTGTGTCTCCCTTAGAACCCCCCCCCCCCAGGAAACAGTGATGTAGTCAGTTACAACTAAAATGGGATCTACTGTGTCCCCTTGCGTCAGCACTCAAGTTTTCTGCACTGTCACTTGCCTTACATAGGCCACAAATAAAAAAGATAGATTAAGAGAAGAAAACATTTCTACATTTGCAAGATATTGGGTTCAGTGTATTCCTTGAGTAATAACTACATATATTTCAGCCATAAGAATAAAATTCTTCTCTGAGAGAAGCTGTCTGCTTCTCCCTCAAAGCATATAAAGCATTGGATCCAGTCAGTGAAAGCCTGTCATTGCTAGCTATGATTTGGTCAGTAAACAAACTCAAATAATTCACTGTGTACTAGTGGTTGGATAAAAAAAAATGACAAGCACACTCTTTATTTAATTTAAAATTCAAATGCATCTTCAAATCACCTAAATCCTGGGTAATAGTATTATTTTAAGATTTAGTGTCCCTTTAAGGTTTTCATTTGTTCAGATAGGCTACAAATGTTCTGTAGCTGCAAGGGTTAAGAATACCATAACTCCAACACCAACTAAGTAAAGCGATAATAAAACACTTATGACATCCAGCTCATCCTGTAAATATTCTGCTTTACTCATTTACGGTCAGTTCACATGAAGGCCATAAAACACAAGGCAAACTGACAGTTAAAGGCCATCTTATATCACACCCTGTTTATCGAAAAGCTTAGAATCAAATTAACAAGCCCTTTCCTTTAAGGAATATACTGCTGTTTGCTTGTCTTTCTCAGAGAATTGTCATACACGTGTAAATTGAAGAAGAAGCCCCTGGGAACTGCAATTTATGCATTCTCCCTCAGTATGTGCATTAATATAAAAAAATGCTCTACTGCAATATAAGTACGTAAATGAAAACACAGGGGAATTTTATGAACATATTGCGTGGGGTAGGTGAAAGATTTTATTATCATAAATTTCTGTAACACTTCTTTGAAGTCAATTGAAAATTTGAGGTTCGAATATATATGTAAACATCAGGGGTTTCACATTTTTCCTCCCATGGAAGCAAAAAGAGGACTGCCCTTAGTTCAGTGGCAGATCCACAGCCTGATCTAGGGAGGGGCACTTGTAGATTATTTAAAGAAATAATCCATGCACAATAACCACTACAGCTCTGTGTAGTGGTTATGGTGCCAGGACCCCCTCCCAGAGTAAATAGTCAAACAGTTTAAGAACAGTTTGACAACTTACCTGGGGTCTGCTGAGATATGGGGCTGTAGTAGGGCACAGGATCAGTGGTGTGTGTGGGGGGTGTAGTGTGTGAATGTGAAAGGTGTGTGGGGAAATGTGTGTATGGGGGCAGTGTATGTGTGTGGGGCAATGCGTGTATGGGGGTTGTGTATGTGTGTGTGGGGGCAATGCGTGTATGGGGGCTGTGTATGTGTGTGTGGGGGGCAATGTGTGCATGTGTGTATGTGTGGGGCAATTTATTTCTGTGTGGGCAGGGCATGTGTTTGTGGGGCAGTGTATGTGTGTGTGGGGCAATGTGTATGGGGGGCAGTGTGTGAATGTGTATGGTGTGTGTGGGGCAGTGTGTGTATGGGGGCAGTGTATTGTGTGGGGGGCAGTGTGTGTGTATGGGGGGCTGTGTATATGGAGCAATGTGTGTATGGGGGGCTGTGTGTGTGGCAGTGTGTGAGTGGGTGGGCAGTGTATATGTGTGTGGGGGCAGTGTGTGTATAGGGGGTAGTGTATGTGTGTGTGGGGGGCAGTGTCCATCAGCATGGGTCAGTGTCTGTGTATGGGTCAGTGTGGGTGTCTTTATGAGTGTGTGTGTGTGTATGTATCGGTCTGTGTATGGGTCAGCATGTGTCTGCATGGGTCAGTGTGTGTATGTATGGGTCTGTTTGTGTGTATGGGTCTCTGTGTGTATATGGGTCTCTGTGTGTATAGGTCAGCATGTGTTTGCATGGGTCAGTGTGTTTCTGCATGGGTCAGTGTGTGTGTGTCTTTATGAATCAGTATATGTCTGCATGGATCAGTGGGTGTGTGGAAGGGGGTTCAGTGTGAGCATATGTGTATGTGTGTGAGTCAGTGTGTGTATCTGTATGGGTCAGCGTGTATGTGTATGGGTCAGTGTATGTAAGTCTGCATGAGTGGGTGGAATGAATAGGGTGGCAAACATTTTTTTCGCCTAAGGCGGCAAAAATCCTTGCACTGGCCCTGAATGCATTTCATCCGAGGCACCCTTTAATATATGGTATGAAGCTGCATGATAATATATAGTTTGTCATTTTACCGGACATCCTACCACAATATCTACTGCAGACAGCCATCTTGGAAGAGATGTTAGCTATCTTTAGGAAAAAAAATATCTGTTTATATAGCCATCATGTTACATTTTTGTTAAAAATATGTATAGTTTACAAGTGCGATACCATTATATGTTACAGAGTTTTTCCCTTAAGTGAGATCTATTGGGAATTAAAAGTGAATTAAACGTAAATTTAAAATTTAAGGTCAAAACATATGAGCTGGAAGAATGGTTGACTTATTATAATTCGGATGTTTTGCCCTTAAACTTTGAATTCACTTTAAATTAGGAATTCTCAACAGTTCTCACATTACAGGGTTATTAATATGAGAATTAAAAAGTGAATTTTAAATTTAAGATCAAAATAGCTAAACTGGAAACCTCTATTAAGTCAGAAATGCTTCCAGTTTGGCTGCTTTGACATTAAATTTGAAATTCACTTTTAGTGAATAACCCTGCACATTTTTATTCTGTTTTGTTTATGTGTAGAATCTGTATGGCCAAATCAGAGGTGTGTGTGTGTGTTTTAAGTTTGGATTCCAATATTGTTGAATGGGTAAGGCAGTGGGTGAGTGACAGGCAACAGAGGGTTGTAGTCAATGGAATATATTTGAAGCTTGGACTTGTCACCAGTGGGGTACCTCAGGGATCTGTTCTTGGACCCATTCTCTTTAATATTTTTATTAGTGATATTGCAAAAGGTCTTGATAATAAGGTATGTCTTTTTGCTGGTGATACTAAGAATGTAACAGGGTTGATATTCCATGAGGGATAAGCCAAATGGCAAATGATTTAGGTAAACTAGAAAAATGGTCAGAATTGTGGCAACTGACATTTAATGTGGATAAGTGCAGGATAATGCATCTTGGACGTAAAAACCCAAGGGCAGAGTACAGAATATTTGATAGAGTCCTAACCTCAACATCCGAGGAAAGGGATTTAGGGGTGATTATTTCTGATGACTTAAAGGTAGGCCGACAATGTAATAGAGCAGCAGGAAATGCTAACAGAATGTTTGGTTGTATAGGGAGAGGTATTAGAAAGAGGGAAGTGCTCATGCCGTTGTACAGAACACTGGTGAGACCTCACTTGGAGTATTGTACACAGTACTGGAGACCGTATCTTCAGAAGGATATTGATACCTTAGAGAGAGTTCAGAGAAGGGCTACGAAACGGGTTCATGGATTGCGGGATAAAACTTACCAAGAAAGGTTAAAGGATCTTAACATGTATAGCTTGGAGGAAAGACGAGACAGGGGGGATATGACAGAAACATTTGAATACATAAAGGGAATCAACACAGTAAAGGAGGAGACTATATTTAAAAGAAGAAAAACTACCACAACAAGAGGACATAGTCTTAAATTAGAGGGACAAAGGTTTAAAAAATAATATCAGGAAGTATTACTTTACTGAGAGGGTAGTGGATGCATGGAATAGCCTTCCAGCTGAAGTGGTAGAGGTTAACACAGTAAAGGAGTTTAAGCATGCGTGGGATAGGCATAAGGCTATCCTAACTATAAGATAAGGCCAGGGACTAATGAAAGTATTTAGAAAATTGGGCAGACTAGATGGGCCGAATGGTTCTTATCTGCCGTCACATTCCATGTTTCTATGTTTCTATGTGTGTGTATATATACACATAGATAAACAACTGTGAAACGTGCAAACAAACGGCATATATTATGACTTTCAAACAGAATAATGTGAAATTGTCTGGTCTTTGTGGAACATTTGTCAGTTTAAATGCAGTTTACTTCTCACTTTAAATACAATATAAATATAATCATAAAAAGCACAACAATCCCTGCAATCGCAATCATAAAATATTGTGTACCACACATTCATTTGTTGAAATAATACATTTTGGCTGGCTTCCTGAATTAAATGTAATTTTAGCTGGTTTCTCCAAATTATGGTCAGACTAACGCCAAGTGTCCTCTTGTCTTTATCAGTAGCATAAACCCATTTGCCAAATGAAAGCAGGTGGCAGAAAAAGAATGACACTCTATAACTGGGCACATTGAAAGGACCATATTTGGGGGTGAAAAAACAGACACTCTCATTCATTTCCAATCACAAACCATTTTTTTTTTTTAAACAGAGACAGATGAAGAATGAAACAGCAAGTGTTGGAGAGAACCATATAAACAACAGCTGACAGAACCATTAGCATGTAGTTTATACATCTGTTTTTATTTCAGAGCGTTTAACTTTTCACCCCATAACCTGTAGCACCGCTACTAAAATCTGTCTCAACTTAACTGTTTCACCACATGCTCTATAGCCAGAATTTAGTGAGTTAAATACAGAACATATTACCTTTCTATCTGAAACAAGCTCTCTTTAGATTTCACAAGGTCAAGGGTGGAAGTCATCGCAAAATTTAATTTAACTTGGGCTAGGAGTGATTATTATCTTGGGA